CAGTGTTTAAGAAAACAACCTTAAAAATTCACAGAGGACTGGAATAATTGCAGAAAACTTGGAGCCAGAGCTTAGTTGTTTTCATGCAGTTCTGAAGGTAAAAACAAAATTACCAATTTCCACCAAAATCATGTCTTGGAGTAGCGGGTGGGGGGGGTGGAGATAATGCCATTTAAAAATAAATTCCAGGGGCGCCTGGGTGGCTCAGTCGGTTAAGCGGCCGACTTCGGCTCAGGTCATGATCTCGCGGTCCGTGAGTTCGAGCCCCGTGTCGGGCTCTGTGCTGCCAGCTCAGAGCCTGGAGCCTGTTTCGGATTCTGTGTCTCCCTCTCTCTGACCCTCCCCCATTCATGCTCTGTCTCTCTCTGTCTCAAAAATAAATAAACGTTAAAAAAATTTTTTTAATAAAATAAAATAAAAAAATAAATTCCAAAATATTGCAAAAAAATGTATCTTTAAAGTGGCAGCTGTCATATGAAGACTGTGCCATCTCTGTGCTGTCAACACCAACCAAAGAGAGCGCTGACACTGTAAAGGACACCCTGCATCCTGGTCTTTCCCTGGGCAGTGTTCTGGGTACAGGGTTTCCAGAGGAAGGAAGAAGGAGAGGGACAGGGAGAGGGCAGGAGAGGGGTAGAGGAGAAGAAGAAAGGGGAGTGAGGGTCAAAGGAGGAGGTATGACAAGCCATTCTGCAAATGCAAAGAAGTTATTCAGGGCAGTGGAGCAGGGCAGCTTGGGGTGGAAGTTTTCATGAATCTCTCGTCTTGAAATTTCATGCAACTATTGGATCTGTACAATGGAAGGGATAGAAAGGATAAACTAGTTGCAGATCTATTTCATAGATAAGGAAACTGACATCTGAGAAAGCAAACCAGCCCCATATCCTGAACAGAGAATATAAGGTCATCTCCAAACTCTGAACCTACTTACTCTAATGGCCCCTGAGGCCAAGGGTTCCAAGAACACAGCCTGAGAAGCCCAGTGACATCACAAATTCTGCTAGATGTACTTTATGACAAGAGCCAAATTAACACCTGCTTGTGACCCTGGCACCATTACTCACTTGGCCATGGCAAATGCTGGCACCCCAAATACTCAGGTCCCTGAGTAAATAAGTGCCCCTCTGAGCACAGAGGGAACCCCAGTGCATCATCTTTAGAAGTACATTCTCGCTCTGCTGATATCATAACAAAGAGGAAGGAAGGCTGGTCCAGAAACACAGGGCTCACTTCCTAGCCCTACATTTAAGGCTTTTGAGAGCAGGGTGCCTGGGTGGCTCAGCAGGTTAAGCGGCTGACTTTGACTCAGGTCATGATCTCAGCTTTTGAGTCCGAGCCTCACGTCGGGCTCTGTGCTGACAGCTCAGAGCCTGCTTTGGATTCTGTGTTTCCCTCTCTCTCTGTCCCTCCCCTGCTCGTGTTCTCTCTCTCAAAAAAATAAATAAACATTAAAAAAAAAATTTAAGACTCTTGAGAGCAGACACTAAGCATTCAACCAGTACATGCACTATTCTCTGCATACAGGGCTACTTTGACCTCTTAAGGAAACCAGGGCAACTGGGCCTTGGCTCACTCTAGCTCAGTCCTCCCCTCCCATAGTGAGTTAGAGACAGAGAAGATGAAAACCAGTAAATTTTCCAAACCAGGATCTTATGAGTGCTTTAGCTCTCAACATTTTTGCATGAAATACCTGTTCCATCAAGACTGAGATGGGGCGCCTGGGTGACGCAGTCGGTTGAGCGTCCGACTTCAGCCAGGTCACGATCTCGCGGTCCGTGAGTTCGAGCCCCGCATCAGGCTCTGGGCTGATGGCTCAGAGCCTGAAGCCTGTTTCCGATTCTGTGTCTCCCTCTCTCTCTACTCCTCCCCCGTTCATGCTCTGTCTCTCTGTCCCAAAAATAAATAAACGTTGAAAAAAAAAAAAAAAAGACTGAGAAGCAGACCTCCAACAGCATTCTGGAAAGAGCACCAAGGCTACCAGGGGGCATGTGTGTCCGTGGTCATGGTTTGGCCACGTTCTTGTAGAAACAGAGCATTCCTCAGAGGCGCTGTGCTCATTACCGTGGCAGGATCTTTCAAGCTTGTCTGTATTAGAAGATGGTGCTAGGACATCTCAGCCCCACTGGCTGACTGCTCAGACTTGGGCCACCTGAGGCAACAGCCTGTTGACAGAACCAGATGGACCGTATGTGCCCATTCCTGTGAGGAGTGGCTGGAGAAGGTAGTTCCATGACCCACTTGTAATGGTGGGATGGTTGCCCCCAGCAGAGAGTGAGAAATACACGAGTGAGCTCCCACTACAGAACTACCACCACACACAGGGCACTGAGCTGTTCTTATTACTTCATTACCAATTCTCACAGCAGTCATGAAAGGTCAGAATGATTATCTCAATTTCTCAGAGAAGCAGACAGATGCTTAGAAAGCCTATTTCTCCCAAAGCCCAGAGCTTCTAAGCTGGGATTCAAATGCAGGTTGAGTAGGACTCCAAAACCCAGGAAGATATGGAGCTCTCAAATCTACATGCCCACTTTATCTCCTTGAGGTGCTTCCAATTAAGCCTGGAAGATGAGGAGATGTTCAAAAACAAATGGAAGTTTTAGATCTGCCTGTCCAATAGAACTTTCTGTGGTGATGGAAATATGTTATGATCTGTGCTCTCCAATACGGTAGCCACAAGCCACACTCAGCTATTGGGTATTTGACGTGTAGCTAGTGCAGCTGAGAATCTGAATTTTTAATGTATTTAATTTGAATTTAAGTCGCCACTGAGTGTCCATATTGGACAGCACAGTCAGAGACATTTTGTAGCAGAAATATTCAGCAAACAGAATGGTCACAGCAGGCTTGGTGAAGAACAGAGGCTCCAGGCAGGCCCTTGATGTATCAGGACTTAAAAAGATCCCTCCTTGTTTCAGGAATGACCACTTTCCCTGTAGAATTTGGCTCGGAGTCAAGGGCTCTGGAAATCAAGCCCAGTTCCCATAGCACACAAATGAAGAAATCGAGAATATTCCTTTTGGGTCTTTATTCTTTCTGGACTGCCTCTAAGCAGCATTATGAGCTCTTGTTCAGTCCTCCTGCTGCCCTCTAGAAGCCCTTCCTTCTCTCTCCCCCTATGCCCTCCTTGCCAACACCAGCAGGTGCTGGGCTTGTGCTCTTTTTAAAAACCTGGACGTGTTTTCTACCTGGAACTGAGTCATTTCCTCTCTTGCAATGCCTTTTAAATGTGTTTATTCTTCTACACATGCCACTCTGAGAAAGACACTTCTTGACACAGTGAGCATACTCTCTGCCACTCACAGAGACAACACCACCTCCCTCAACACACATCCCTCAACAGGGAACAGAAGCCCTCCATCACCACTGGCCCAGAGCATGGTGGCTGAACCCAACCTGGAGCCAGTCACTGTATTATGTGACTCCATTCTTTCCCATACCAAAGGTGACGACTGGCCTCCATAATGCTGTATTTCCTGTCTTCTAACATCCCAATCACCATCAGCCTCTTAGCTCCAGAAAGATGTTGAAAAACGCTTGGCTACAATGCCAGATCAGTAACCAGGGTTCTTGGCACATCTCTCTACAAACGGCTCTACAAAGGCTCTGTCTGCTGTGTGTGGCACTCGAACCCGTCACATCCATTTTCACTTCTAGCTCACATAGCAACTATGTGCTTCACTAACCTTCAAGAGTGTTCCTTCAGAGCATTTAATAATAGCCATGGTGACCCTTGAATTTTCCAGCTTGAGGAATATAGATTATGTAGTGCTGAGGGCTATTGTGGGTTTTTTGGGGGGGGGGGGGGGGGGGGGGGCTGGTAATCTATTTTTAATTCCTTCCTGCTCTGCTTGGAAAGTGACTGTTAAAATTCTCAGTATGGTGGTGAAGGACACCCCTACCCACCTTCCCAAAAAAGAGCAGGCACACAACTTCACAGAACACCTTCTGTTCTCAAAGGTCTAAGGTTCTTTAGGCTGCACTGAAGACTGTTTATATCTTTCCAGCATGACACTAAAAATAAGACTGGTTTTTGGATGTGGGATCAACATTTGGTTGAGCTCCTGAACCCTCAGAGGGGGCACACATGGGGCCCATGTCCCCATCAAGCAAAGAAAAGAGGTCCCAGAGAGTTGAGAAGTCCAAGTCAGGATTGGCAAAGTAGAGCTGCAGGCCTAATACATCCCCATGCCTGTTTTGTACAGTCTGCGAGCTAAGAATGGTTTTTAAATGTGTGAAGGGTTATTAAAAGGGTATTTTAAAAAGCAAAAACTTTAGACACGGTATATGGCCTACAAAGACTGAAATATTTACTGTCTGGCCATTTGTCAGACAAGTTTGCTGACCCCTGGTCGGAACTAGCAAGGACCTCAACCACCTAGGGGGTGCTTGCCATTTCCTGAGATTCGGTGAGCTGAGTTCTGACGATTCCAAGTCCCCCTCACTCACGTTGTGTTTGTTTTCCTTTTACATTCAGTAACACTGGAAATAGAATGTTCCATATCTTTCTGAGGAAAAACACAACAGGTATCAAATATAATAGCTTAGAAATGAATATTCACTTCTTCCAAAAAGACCAACAACATAGGTAGGGATCTGGTTCAATCCCAGTGTCTTTATTGTGACACAAAGAAGGCTCCTGCTTAAAAACCAGCCAGAGAGAATTCCAGGGATCAAAGCAATGATGACCACAGAACATCCTCACTCATCCTGTTCCAGACTTAGTTTCCCGCTTGAGAGCACCAGCGTCCACCTTTGATATCAGCATCACTGATGTTGACTTACCTTGTCGCCCATGCCCTAGAAAAAGAATACAGAGGTAGAATCACAGCTGAATGGTCCCGGGATCTCACCTTTCAGTTTCTTAGATGCCTGCTCTAAATGTCCCTAAGAACCTCTGGATTCGAACTCAAAGGGAAAAAAGCATGGCATCCAGCCCTTCCTCAGACACAACCAGAAATAATGGCAGCCACTGCCCACAGCAAAGCTGTTACTATTACCTGGTTCAGTGCAGTTCTTGTTGCTCCGGAGTCCTGCATCTTCTGAAGTCAGAGTATCGTTCACCTGCATTAACTTCCTCCCCACCGTCCATTGTCTGTCTTCCCCTAGGAGGTCCATGAAGTCGAGGTCTGGAGAGAAAAAGGTTACCACACATCATTAACAGTCGGGTTTTAGCCTTTACCAATGCTGCATGTCCAGTGTCTTGATCAGCCATCATTTGCTCACTGATGAGCCTATACACCCCATCCTGGCCCTTATTGTACTTCATCCATGCTGCCTCTAACTGCCTGCGGGCTTCCTCTAGAGGCTGGATCCTGCTGGGCCCAAGAGAGGCAGCCCTCAGCCACTAACCAGTAGGGAGTGTATAACTAACTACCTCACCGCTCCAATGGGATGACTATTAGGTATGTATTCTTTCTCCACTGGGAATATGCTCCAGTTGTCTACAGTGTAACTCTGCTGATAAAGCACAATTTATTAACTGCTGTCCTTCCTTGCCTTAATTCCTCATTCCCAGTAACATGCTGATAATGTTTAACAACCAACTCTCCAGGGAAAGAAAGGGTTAGGGTTAGCCATTGGCCAATTTCCGTAGTGTAAATATTCTCATCATGGCCAATTTCAACACGACCAACATGACCTCACTGAACACAGATTTGAAAAGAGATGGGTACAATTCAGTTCTTAAGTCAGCATGACTGTCTCTATCCCACCAGCATCTACTCCCGTACCAGTATTTCCTTGAGCCACTTCTCAAATAAAGCTACTGCAACTGAACACTTGCCCAGGATCTGCTTCTGGAGGGTTGTCCAAGATAGGGCACCATGTCGATGTCCCCAGGATCTAGGCCAGTGAATACACAGATGAAAGCACAGATGTGAAAATAGTGAACCACTGAATGCGTGATGGGATGAGCAGGCTAATAGTGCTGAGGCCTCCAGCCGACACGACTGTAGGGACCAACATGCCAGGAGAAAGGATGGATGATGAAGGGCACATCAGAGGGGAGAATGGAGCACGTTTTGTTAAAGACTTGTTGAGCTTCAAGTGTCTGTGGAACATGGAAAGGGAGGTAAGCTGCCTGTATGCATGTGGGTGGGGATACTTCAGGGGAAAGAGCTAAGCAACAGAGAGCATCTAGAGAGTGATAAGCAAACAGGGAAGAGTATGAGACATGATGTCTGGGGCCTTCTGGAAGGGGGAGGGAAGAGAAGAGGAGAGGAGAGGAGAGGAGAGGAGAGGAGAGGAGAGGAGAGGAGAGGAGAGGAGAGAAGAGGAGAGAAGAGATGAGAAGAGAAGAGAAGAGAAGAAGAAGTTGTGAAGAACTCAACATTGCTTCAGAGTGCAAGGAAAGTAAAAGAATTCAGCAATGAATCATGAAAGGAAAGAGGAAGGGGAATGGTATAAAGCAAGGTCAGCAGAAAGGGAATTTCAAGAGTGGCCAATGGCCTTGACCACTATGGACAATTCAAGCAAGACAAAGGCAAAGACACAACAGAGCTGGACATCAGAGAGCCACTGGAAGGTGGAAACAGCAAGCAAAGATGGTCTTTCTGGTGGCTTAGCACTAAAGAAAGATGTGGCATGAGGCAATGGCCACCTCTTAAGTGTCCAGAGTTGCTGTGGTCAGAAAATGGATCTAAGTACAAGATAAGGATCATGAGTCAAGTGGTGTTCATGAAAGGCCACAGGGTACATCCCACCCAGCCACATCAATATGGTGTTCTGAAATGATCAATGAAGAGCTAGGTCATCATACCCATTCCTCTATTTCCATGGTGATTTTAGTTTCCCAAATGATTTCACCTTCATTACTGAATTTGAACCTCACAACACCACTTAGGAAAGAAAGAGGGAGCAGGGATATTGTCCACTTTGTCCATTGTTGCCTCTCTAACACCCAATCACTCCTGGTTCTGAGGAGATGCTCGGTATATGTGTTGAAATAACCATTACCACTTTGAATATGGATAAAGTAAGACTCATGGAAGTTTCTGGAAATCGCAATGCTTGTAGGCATCTCACCAAAGCCACAGGACACACATAATACCAACAGCTCATGCACTGAGATCTTCCTCAAATGGAATCCGCTCTCAAATCTAAAATTATCAAGATATCTCATTATGACTTATGCATATTAGTCAGAACAGCCACTAGGCATATTCACATAAAAAATGTACAATGTGGAGCCAAACTAGAATAAACAATAAGTTTAGATTCTGAAATGCAAAAGCGTACATGGAGGCCACATATATTAGCTTAGTCAAAACTGGAAGAGCAATACCAAAGATAATTCAAGGTGAAAGCAAGACATTTGTGTACTCTGGTTAATCTCAACAGTTAATTCTTAGGATTAAGAATGGTGAGATGCAGAGAAAAATATTTTCAAAAACTCATAAAGAAACAACAAGGTCAGTGGTCTGAAAATCCAACAATCAACATGAAATGTGAATATAGCACCATATTGTCACAAATGATCTAAAAGTGTGGAGAAAGACATCCCATTTGTCTCAGGCTGGGTTTCCACGCAAGCAGCCCAAGACAAGGATTTGAACGCTCGTGTTTTCTCTGGGGGATGGAGTTGATCCCAGGAAGCACCTGGGGGGAACAGGGACATGGGACAGGTAAGAGGAGCCAGCCAACAAAGGGTACGCTTCAAGCCAATTGCCAAAATGAGTAAACTAAAGCTTGGCTCCCCTGGAAAGCTCTGGGAGTCAGGGCAGACAGGCATCTAAGACACTCAAGGGGTGAGGAAGTTTAGGTATGTACCCACCCATTCCTGATCTGCCATTGGTTGAAGGCTATTTCCAGGGGACATGAATTCCCTGGCACTTCTAACCTGCCACATGGGTGTCCAAGGTGGGCTCTAGTGTCCAGAAGAAGACCTTAGACAATGAGAGGGAGATGCTGAAAGTTAAGCAGTGCCAGTGTGCACTGAAGAGGTAAGAACAAAGAGATACGGGCAGGGCAACAATGGCATCTTCCAGTCTGCGTGAGATCCAAAGATAGAGTGGTGCTAGGGACCAACAGATTGGCCATTCTGCTGTTTCATAATCTGGGTCAAAGAAAAGTATTTTGTGGTACTACAATCCTAATGTTTAGGAAAACTCCAAAGATTTGCAAAGAAGCAAGTGTCCCTTCCAATGACTTCCAAAGTTATTTCTTAGGCCAAGTTTCCATGGTTCTGTAATTCTGAAAGAAAAGCTGATACCAATTAAGAGATATAAAAATAAAGCCAGCTATTGTAGCAGAAAATTAGAGGATTTTTTTTTTTACATAATGATTCAATATCTTCAGGCATTAGAGACTATTAAGGCAGCACCTCTGGATTCCAAAACCTACAAATTTTTATCTCAACAAAAATATATTTGACCACTAACCACTGATCGACCAATGCAGACACCAGAGTCTGAGAAAATCAGAGAGATGAAAGTAAGCACTGCATTCACTCACTCCCCATGGAGAACCAAGTGTGACAATATTATACCCCATTCCATTTGTCCTCATGAAATCCTGGTGAGGTAGGAAAGGGCAGTTGGTGCTGGGGTCGACTTGCCTTGGGAGTAAATATGTCAGGGTAGAAGAGATTTTCCTAAAATCAGAACCAATCCATAGCCAGCCACATCAACTACAATTTAATTGTTATTATGGCTTCCACTTACTGAGGGTCTATTATGCACAAAGAACTTTCTATTCCATCCATGTTTCATCTTACTTAACAAGTCTTATTTTTAACTATTAGCTTGATTTGCAAATAAGGAAGCCAAAGCACAAAAAGGTTGAAAGACTCTCCCAGGGTCACAAGCAAGGAGGAGTCGAATGGGGATCTGAACCCAGGCCTAGTGACCCAATGGCCACATTCTTGGTAGATCCCTGGAGAGGATGAAATCCATCTGGTATTCAGCTACGGCAAGGTAGATCAACAATGCAGCCTGCACCTTATAAGAGGTTAGGGGTGAAAATAGTCTCACTAAACCGCCTTCCAGGAAGGTTGTTTCCTCAGAAACAATTAGGAACAGCAATGGGGCACACACAGCATGAAACGATCACAAACTGAAAATAGTTCCAAAAACCCTAGTGAACACATGATGCTCTGCCCAGTGTGTTTTTCTTACAGACTAAGCCGGTCCCATCAGTCATGACATGGAGGGCTATATTCTCAGATTTAGGAGGAGGGACAGAGGGTGGGCCACGGGGAGGGCACAGGGCATTGGGAGCAGCACCCACAGTTGGTTTCTCACTGCTCTCCCTTCACTCATCTCCGGCTTCCTTAGACTTCGCTGCTAGGGCAGAGGCTGCTCCACAAAGCTACACTTGAGCAATGTCAACAAAAACATTTGGCGCCTGTCCACCGCATTCTTGGCTCCTCATCTGCCAGGGCCTGGAAGTTGCATGTTGGCCTAATTAGTCAGGGGGTGGAGGGCGGGGGTCGTGTGAGGAGGGAGGCAGATGGCTCACATGTCATATGTCACCAGCAGAGGCAGCATGTATGACTGCAGGCTCTGAGAAGGGGGGACAGGAGGGGGCCATGGAGATAGCGTGGGGTGCCTGCTGAAAGGGGAAGAAGTTCTCAATCCGAGGCTCAAGCCACATGCACTAAGGAAGGAAAGAAGTGGAGGCTGGGTGCCAAGTTTCCATTACAGAGCTGTGTGCTCACCCTCTCCTGCTCTCACCAACCCCCCTCTGTCTTTCTCTGTCTTCCCCCACCCCTTCTTCTTCCTGGGACTGGGGCTGGGAGAACCCAAGGTTTTCTGACACCAAGAATGGGTTTCCTTGGGTGCCCCAGATCCCGGCCTTCACTCTAAGATTAACACACTTTCTCTTGTGTGTCCCCTTGTCCCACAGGGTTTCCACCCTTCCCAAATACCGGCCCCAGGCCCCTCAGAGGGGTGTGGCTGTCTGCTTTCTGAGACACAGGGACAAGCAGCAGATGGGCATGTCTGCTGCAACAGCATCATGACCATCCTGCATGCCCCGTGCCTATGCACCAAGCCACTCCATGCTCTCACAGGGCATTTCCGCTGTCTTACTGCTGTTGCTGATGGGGCTAAGTGGCCAAGCCGGAATCAAGCCCAGATCTAACTCCAAAGCCCAGGTATAAGCATTCCACCTTTCCCAGAGCTCCAGG